AAAACCCTATGGCAGGAAATAGATCACTTAGAAACTGTGGTATGGGAAAGTGTAAATGATGCAGCAACTTATCACAAACTGATAGAGAGGAATAGGGTTTTGAGTTCTTGGCAGGGCTGAACCTTGAATTTGACATTGCTGGGCAGCATATTCTTTCTAGGGAGGGTGTGACACTCTCTCAGGCCTATGCTTTTGTCTCTGGAGAGGAGAGTAGGAGGAATGTAATGCTGAGACAACCTATTATTGACTAGTCGGCTATGGTTGGTACAACAAAACCTAAGCCGAATAGAGACAGGGGGAGATTAGAAGGGAAGATAAGGACTTGGTGTGTGATTATTGCAAGAAGCCTAAGCATACCAGGGACACGTGTTGGAAGCTTCATCCAAATCTTATGCCTGGTCGGATAAGAAACAAGAAGGGAAATGCAAATGTAGCCACTACAGGAGACTCTTCAGCCCCTCTCTCCCAAACTGATTGGGAATCCATTACATTAGCAGCAGTGAGAACAAAATTAGAGAGGTTTGGACAGCTTATGAGTAAGAAAGATTCACCCAGGTCTAGCCTTCCAGATGGACAGTAGAATGCAAGAGCTGGGAAGCTATTGAGAGAATACTTGCATATCTGAAAAAGCACATTGGCAGAGGCATTCTTTTCTCAAATCATGAGAATCTGAAGCTAGAATTCTATATAGATGCAGACTGGGCAGGATGCTTAGATGACAGGAGGTCTACATCAGGAGTGTGTACCTTTGTAGGTGGAAACWTGATCTCCTGGAAGAGTAAGAAGCAAGCGGTTGTGGCAAGGTCAAGTGCAGAGGCTGAGTATAGATCCATGGCTAATGGTGTCTTAGAACTTTTTTGGGTTAGATCTCTTTTGAGTGAGATTGGGGTAAAATCAGAGGAATCTATGATGTTATACTATGACAAACAGACTGCAATCAATATTGCCCACAATCCAATTCAGCATGATAGGACAAAACACATTGAAGTTGATAGACACTTTATWAGAGAAAGGGTAACWAYCGGAGAAGTTTGTTTGCCTTATGTCTCTTCAGAGTTGCAGCTAGCTGATGTTCTCACTAAAGGGATGGCAAAGAACAAGCTTGAACATGATTTATGCAAGTTGGGAATGTGTGACATTTACTCCCAACTTGAGGGGGAGTGTTGAAGATTAATTAGTTTTATGATGTTTTTCTGAGTAGATGTTTTATGTTAGTTGTTAGATAGGTGGTGGGGACCACAATAGTTATATGAGTCCAAATTTTATTATGTTTTTTAAGTGTTANCACAATAGTTATATGAGTCCAAATTTTATTATGTTTTTTAAGTGTTATATATGCTGTTTTATGTTTTGCTGTCCTATAAGGGCATAGTTGTCTTTGTACTGTTCTATTATTTTAGTATAAATAATAAGTGAAGGGGGTGGCCAGATTATTGCTCTCTTTTCAACTTCTCTTCTTCTCTTCTTCTCCTTCTCTCTTCCTTCTCTTTTCAAGAAACTACTTTCTTTCATATTTTTTTTAATTCAGCAGATTCCTACTATCGGCAACAATTCTTATACTACCTCTCCTTTTTCCATACATCATAGCTTTTTAATGCATAGAAAAGCTCAAGATTGTAACTAGCTTTGCTATAGAATAAATACTTAATTATTTAAGAGAATTGTGTTGCATTTCTACTTTTTTTGGACATCCAGTCAACTGTTTACCTGGTTAAGGTAGCAATCGATTGGTGAACTATGTGGTAAGTTGTGGTGGAATTTTGTTCCAAGTAGAATATCTTCCTTTGGTTCTAGTCAGAAAGACAAAATGGACCTTTGAACTTTATCTCTTAGATATCTAACCCAATCTGATAGAACCAAAACGGAACAGAGAGAACTGGAGCTGTTTCAAGGGAGCTCACCCTCCTGAAATGAGAAGATAGGAGAAGAGAGGAGGAGAGGAGAGAGATTAAGAGAAGACGTTTATTCTATTATGTTCTGTTGCTCTCAAGAGCTCATACATATATTTATCATGGAGCACGTCCTCTGAATAACTAACAACCCACTCATTCTTCCTGACGTGGACGACGTGAATACACGAACCGCAATGGAGGCGTGGTGCACGTGAACTCTGGAGAGGCCTGAGTTGGGCTTCGAGTGTAGTGGGCCTGGATCCTTCCTTCTGGGTCTGCTGCTACTCGGGTCTTAACATACCCTTCCCCATCGAGAACGACCTTGTCCTCAAGGTCGATGGTGAAACCGCTTCTGGAGCTGAGTGTAATCCTCCCAAGTTGCATCCTCCTCTGGCAGGCCCTCTCAAGCAACTAGGGCCTGTTTGTGGGTTTTTCTACCGATTTTCACCCAGTGAACATCCCTAATCTTTGTGGTTTAAACATTACCTCACCAACTTTAGAGAACGGAGGGAGCGTGGGGCTGGTGATGTCAGAAGGGGATAGGTAGGGCTTAAGGAGACTAACATGAAAAACAGGGTGTAACTGGCACTCTGTGGGAAGGTCAAGACGATAGGCTACACTCCCGATTCTTTCAACCACCTGAAATGGGCCAAAATAGCGGGGAGACAGCTTCTAAGACACTCTTTCAGCCAGAGAGTCTATTTGGCTGAAGTTTCAGATAGACCCAATCTCCCGTTGAGAATTCCAGTTCTCGATGCTTCTTGTCATAAGCAAGTTTCATACGTTGTTGAGCCCGCTGTAAGTGATACTTAAGGGTCTTAAAGTGTTTTAAAATGCGGAGGCGTGACGCGAGGTGTAGTTCAGAATGCAAGAGGCGTAATCCTCCTGAACACAAGGAGGCAGGTTATGAGGAGGATGAAAAGGAAGGGGGGATCTCATTTTTTCTTTATTTTTAATAAAAATCTTTTATATTAAGAAGAATAAAGATGCATAACAGTAGTTCAAAGGGTGCAACCATTTTCTTTCCCCTTATCTTTTCTTCCCTTCCCTTACTTTTCTTTTCTTTCCTTTTCTCTTTTCTTCTTCTCTTTCCTTTCCTTTTCTTTCCCTTTCTTTTCTTTTCCTTTCCTTTCCTTTCCTTTTTTTCTTTTTTCTTTTTTTTTTTTTCTGTATTTTCATATCATATGTGCATGAGGCGCAAGAGGCGTACGCCTCTAGCATGCCTCATGAGAAAAGCGCAAGAGGCATACGCCTCAGAGGTGTTAGCGCCTCTGGCATACACCTTAGGGCGTTTCAGGAGCGCCTCGCCTGGAGGCACGCCTCCAGGCATGCGCCTCCCACGCCGTTTAAAACACTGTCTCTTAAGTATGTCGTCTCTCTCAGTGAGTTGAGCTTCAACTTCGGCTATTGAGGAGGTCCCGAAACGGGACCTCTTCCCAGACTTTCTCAGGTATGGGTAGGGGTTGTAAGAGCCCAGCCGGGGATTGAGTGCTGTACTTCTGTTGTTGATACGTGGCACATCTTGCCACAAAATCCTGTACCATTCATTTCATGCCCCTCCAATGAAAATGAATGGCTAGTCGTTTGTAAGTACGGAGAGCTCCAGAATGCCCCCCTTGGGCTGAGTTGTGGAACAGATGTAACAGTTCTTGGTGATACCTGGATTGATCCGAAACCACCATTCTTCCTTTGTAAAAAAGAACTCCTCCCTTCACACTGTATTCTGGAGTGGTAGCAGATCCATCCAGAATTTGGGCCCGTAACCGGGTCAGCTGCTGGTCATGTTGAGCTTCTTGCTGTAATTGGCTCAGCAATGAGTAGGAAGGCTGTGATACTCCCATTACACGAAGATCCCCCATCCTGGAGAGGGCATCAGCTACAACATTCGAGGGACCCGGCTTGAATTCAATGCTGAAATCGAACCTCAACAGTTTGTAGGCCCACTTCTGCTGATCAGGGCCCAATACAATGGTCAGTCCTAACCAGTGGCTTACCTTGCTGCATCAAGACCGCTCCAATTTCTTTCCCAGAGGCATCAGTCTCCACTACAAATTCTTAGCTGAAATCTGGGAGGCCCAATGTAGGAGGTGTGGTGACTGCCTTCTTCAATAAATGGAAAGCTTCTTCAGCCTGTGGATCCCATTCAAAGGCGTGTTTCTTCAGCAATCTGGTGAGGGGTGCGGCCAACACCCCGTAGTTTTTGATAAACCTGCTATAGTAGCCAGTAAGCCCAAGAAACCCCCTGAGAGCTTGAGGTGTGGTGGGCCTGGCACAAGCAACCATACAGGCTATCTTCTCTGGATCAGTGGACACCTGCCCCCCTGAGATGATATGTCCCAAATAGCTGATTTGCGTTTGGCCGAATGAACATTTGGTGGGCTTAGCGTACAACTGGTGTTGGTGGAGCAGGCCCAAAGTACACTGCAAATGGTCCAAGTGAGCAGCCCAATTTGGCTGTAAACTAGTATATCATCAAAAAATACCAGGATAAATATCCGCAAATAAGGTCTGAAAATCTCATTCATGAGTCTCTGGAAGGTGGATGGGGGTGTTGGTCAAACCAAAAGGCATAACTAAGAATTCGAAATGCCCATCTGAGGTTCGGAAAGCAGTCTTGTGAATATCTTTCAAGTGTACACGGATCTGATGACAACCCGACTGCAGATCCAGTTTAGAGAAGTACTTGGCCTTACCCAATTTGTCAAAGAGTTCTTCAATAAAGGCTATAGGATACCGATCCTTTACCGTGATGTTGTTCAAAGCCTTGTAATCCACACAAAACCTCCAGCTGCCATCTTTCTTTTTTACCAAAATAACTGGGGATGAATATGGGCTGCTACTGGGCCTGATAAAGCCCTTGTCCAGCAACTCCTTCACCATCCGTTCCATTTCTATCCTCTGATAATGTGGGTAATGGTAGGGTCTGACATTGGCGGGTGGAGCTCTGGGTTGGATGGGAATTTTGTGGTCATGGGCCCTAGGAGCCAGGAGGGTGTGGGGCTCCTCAAACACATCAGGGTAAGCCCGCAGCAATCTCTGAAGCTGCTGTAACTCACTTGGGCTGAGGTTAGTGGTTGCATTGGAGGGGATAGTTGTGGGCCCAAGAGAGCCCATGCTCATTAGTAATGGGGTAGCCGTCTACTGGCAATGTTTAAGAATGGCCTCCAGGTTCTCTTCGGTCATGGGCTGGTTTTTAATTCCCCTTAAGATGTAAGATTGCCCGTCTTGGTCAAATTGCATGGTTAACTCGGCCCAGTTGCAAACTACAGGGCCCAACATTTGGAGCCACTGTACGCCCAGAACTACATCTGCCCCTGTGAACTCCAAGGGGTGTAGGTCCACTTGAAATGTATACCCCTGAACCTTGAGCCCCACTGATTTGCACTTCCCGTAACAAGTAATGCGTTGGCCATTGGCTACATTCACTGCGAAGCTCGGAGTGGGTTCAACCATGAGACCCAACTGTCGGGTTAACTCGGGAGTTATGAAGTTCAGTGAACTCCCACTGTCTATCAGAACAGCTACTTGTCTCCCCAATATCTGGCCGTGGACTCGCATGGCCCGCGGAGTCTGATGCCCGGATAAGGCCTGTAAGGAGATGACACAATATTCCACCTCTGGAACGACCTCCACCTACTGAACTTCAATGTCTTCTGAACCTGGTTCAGATTCACCCTCTTCTTCAGCCTGAAGAAGATAAACTTGTTGGGCCTTACATTTGTGGCCCTGGATGAATTTTTCGTCACAATCTCCCGTCTAGCCTGCATTTCTGCCCATGTCAGCTTCCGGTAGGGTAAGGTTAAGGAACCTGTTTTCTTACCCGGTGGTAAGGGTTTCGGATTAGTGGTCACTGGAACAGTGGGTGTAGGCAGCAATGGGCCTGGGTTCGGCTCATTTTTAGGATAGTGGTGCCTGGGTACTGGGCTTGGACTTGCCTGAAACCCAGTGGGCTTCCCCATCTTCCTGAGGCGGTCCAACGTTTCCTCCTGGAGTTTTGCTAAGCCAACTGCTGCCGTTAATGTAGCAGGCTGCATAGTATTCACCTCAGTTCTGATATCCTCTCGCAGTCCTCCTATGAAACAGCCCACCAGGGCGGCCTCCGGCCAGCCGTGCACTCTGATAGCCAGCCATTCAAATTCATTTTGGTATTCTCTTACAGTTCCGGTTTGTTTAACCAGCGAGAGTGGTTCATTGTAGTTCTCATAACCAGAAGGTCTAAACCATACTTGTAAGGCTTCAGTGAGAGATCTAACCAAGTAGTTTGTGGATGGGTCTTTCGGTACCACTGGTACCACATAATGGCTTTGCCGTCCATATGAATGGCGGCAATTGAAACCCTCTGGTCTGCAGGGGTTTCATGGAATTCAAAATATCGCTCAGCACGGTAGATCCAGGGAAGGGTCATTACCTGAGTAGATCGGAAAGTCGATCTTGGCGGCTTTGATGGGGATGGCTCCTTCCTGCCGGCTGCCTCTGTTGCTACTTGATACTTCGGCCTCCGATGCTTTTGATGCTGATGAAAGATGTTCGAACTGTCCGACCAATGCGGAGAGGGTTCCCTTGATATCTCTGAGTTCACTGGAGGTTTTCCACACTTCCTCTTCAGTACGATCCATCCTTTCTTCGGACGCTGTAGCTCTGGTAACTGGCATTGTCGCTAGGCTCTGATACCAGTTGATAGAACCAAAACGGAACAGAGAGAACTGGAGCTGTTCCGAGGGAACTCACCCTCCTGAAATGAGAAGATAGGAGAAGAAGAGAGGAGGAGAGGAGAGAGATTAAGAGAAGACGTTTATTTTATTATGTTTTGTTGCTCTCAAGAGCTCATACAGATATTTATCGTGGAGCACGTCCTCTGAATAACTAACAACCCACTCATTCCTCCTGACGTGGACGACGTGAATACACGAACCGCAGTGGAGGCGTGGTGCGCATGAACTCTGGAGAGGCCTGAGTTGGGCTTCAAGTGTAGTGGGCCTGGATCCTTCCTTCTGGGTCTGCTGCTACTCGGGTCTTAACACAATCTCTTCAAGAGAATTTTTTATCAATTTATTCTTGATCACAAAGCTTATTGTCCATGTGGTTCATAATCTGGTAGTGGATCCTGACTGATTATGAAATACTTGAAACCATGCCAAGTTTTTAGCAAAAAAAGAGATCAACATGGTCAAATTTATTATTCAATATGAAGAAGTGGGATTTATAGAAGAATGCATTAGGATTCAGTCATATTAAACAATTCTGTTACGATATAATGTCATTTGAGTGGTTCTGATCAATTTTTTTTTTTTATGGTAATTGAGTTTCCTTCTTTTTTTTCTTTCTACAACTACTTGCATCATTTAGAGGTTTAGGTTAATGTTCAATATATTTTTGCTTGTTAGACATACTTAAGCCATGGTCTTGACTTTCTTCAGTTCACACATGCAGAATTTGGTAGAAAAAAGCATTTGGCCAATGCTTGCAGCAGAAAGCTTAAAGGCATTAGGTGGACTTGGTCTGCTTTCTCTTGGAGGAAAGTATTTACTCAGGCGTATCTTTGAAGTTGGTATCAGACTCTTTTAAATAAATCCAATTCTTCTTGTAATTATGACTTCAAAATCTTACAAGGAGGAAATTAAGGGAAAATCAATAAAATACAGGTTGTTGCAGAAACAAGGAGTTCAGAAGCTTTTGTTGCTCTCTGTCTGCTTACAGTTGCTGGGACTTCCCTTCTTACTCAGAAATTGGGCTTCAGTGACACGGTTTGATATCTTTCCTCAAGGTTGGAGAATATCTACATATCTTTCTTCAAGCTGACATAATTTATAATTTATTTCTCATTTGTACAGCTGGGAGCATTTCTAGCTGGGGCACTTCTAGCAGAAACAAACTTCCGGACACAGATTGAAGCTGATATTAGACCATTTAGAGGCTTACTTCTTGGACTATTTTTTGTGACAACAGGGACATCCGTTGACATGCAGGTATGTAAAAGATCTAGTCTTACAATTTCTTAAGATGTCTGGTGATCATTGGGTTAGATTATTTGCACTTACATTGTCTATGTGCATGTAGCTATGCTTGTAGTTGGTGTGCAACCTAGGATTAAAACAGTAACATCTAAAAGATATTAAACACAACCAATAAGAGGAAACCTATCTAACACTCACAAATACAAGAGTTAAGGTTGGTGGTCTCTCTATTAGAGTAAATGGTATGTAGGTTTATTTATTTATTCATTTCCAACCAAATAGCTGCAATTAATTAGATAGTAGTGATCATAAGTTTTGGATAGCTGTGCCAAGGAATATTCAAGGGCTCTGAATACCAAACCAGACGATATTTGTTTTTAAATAATATCATACTAAATATCTAAATGAAGATTTGTTGCAATGTGCGTTTTATATACATTTTTTTGACACAACAAACAAGAAACCTAGGAGTATTAAAAAATTCAATGATACATTTAGAAATGAGAAAACCATATCCTAAAATATATGTGCAATATCTTGTACCAATGTTAGTATCAAGTGATGTTCAAACAATAATTCTGAGCATGCTCTTTACCTGATATCTTAGCTATAGAGCTAACAATGTGAAAATGTTACAGTTTTTGCCTCATTCTCACATTCACTCCGACATGCTCCATATGCATATGCTGATCGTATCAGAGGCACTAGGACAAGCCACATATTACATGAATAGGATTGTTCAAAGTGCCACATAAAAGTAGCATTTCAAGATGATGACCTCTTCTGCTACAATTAATTGATCATTTTTGAACATGTGGATAGCATAAAATATCAAATGCAAATTGGAGTATAGCATTAATCCGTTTTCATGAAGACAGTTTCAAGAATGGGGTGCTCATTCTTTGTCTTCTTGCATTCCTTTGACCCTCAAATAGACTGGATATACTTTTGGGAGAGTCCTCTAAACATATATAGTAAATAATGGAACTTAGTTTCGTCGTATTAAATAAAAAGAACATAGTAAGAACTTTCTCTTCAATATACATTTCATTTCAATTTGTTGCCTGTACTTTATAAATCCTTTTTGTAATGCAGCTCCTTTTCCGAGAGTGGCCAAATGTACTTTCACTCTTGGCAGGTCTAATTGTTATCAAGACACTGATAATTACAGCGATAGGTCCCCGTGTTGGGCTAACACTTCAAGAAAGTGTGAGAATAGGACTACTTCTTTCTCAAGGAGGCGAGTTTGGATTTGTAGTCTTTTCTCTAGCAAACAGGTTAGTTGTGAATATGTGTTCTCCCTGATTTATCTTCCATTTGCCTATAATTTCTGAGTTTGTTGTTCTGATAAACTTTTTCCTCATCAGGCTTGGTGTGCTACCACTTGAGCTGAACAAACTGCTCATAATTGTTGTGGTTTTGTCAATGGCACTAACACCCTTGCTCAATGAAGTTGGAAGGAAGGCTGCTGATTTCATTGATAATAAGTCCAATGCAGAGGACGTATGTACCAATACTAAGCCCTTTTACACGGATTACAGAATTTTAAATAGAAAAAATAACAATGATAAGGATGATTAGTATCTTTAACTAGTTAAAGGCTGTCAACTAAAATATCTGCCAGACTGACATTGACTGATAAGATCATCTTAAAAGCCCTAGTTTTGATTCTCTCACAACATTAAGGAGACATTAATAGATTGAATGATTAGAACTATATAAGCCAATCAATTTTTTGCCAAAGGGATTGTTTAGGTGGAAATCATTTGGATAATGAGATTAACCCACTGCTTAAGTACTGGTATACCATGTTTATGGTTATGCATATTGGATAGGTATCTAGGATATTCTCGTTCCTAAATTCTCTTGTTCTGTTAGCTTGAAATTGAATGTTGTCTTAATCTGAAATGCATTTTTAAATCTTCACAGAAAATTGTTGACATGGTCAACTTTGAAGCAAGTGAACCAGTTGTCATTCTTGGATTTGGACAAATGGGTCAGGTATATCAGTTAACTTGTGTGTGTGTAACTTCTCATTGTACCTGAGCTACACATCTATCTATCTATCCAATATATATATATATATAGTACCTATCACGACATTTAACTTTTCCTAGATACAGGTACTTGCAAACTTCTTGTCAACTCCATTAGCTTCTGGGATAGATGGCAAGCTTGTGGGATGGCCTTATGTTGCTTTTGACCTTGATCCTGCAGTTGTTAAGGTTGGTGAAAAGTATTTCACATATTACTGGTTCATAGAATTCTTATATATGCAGAGATACCTTAACATGCACATGTGATCATGAAGTTGGAATCAAACTGCTAATTGGATTGTCAATTGGGAAAAATCTTCGGTACAAGAATTGATCCTAACTACATAAGCTATCAAATTCTCTTTGATGTTAGATGAAGAGTCAGTATCTCTAGAATTTATCTTCAAAGTTGTTTTAGTTGTGTGCTTTTGGCTTTGGTGATTTTAGGGTGAAAGGTTCACACTTTGTGGCATACTGCCATGCTGTGCATTAGTAGGGAAAACTTTCAACCTCTTCTTCTACCTGATGATTTGTTGAGGTTCTGCTTCAACACAGGCTTCTCTTGGAGGGAGAAGTTGCCTCCTAGGTTGAAGATGGTGGGAGTGAACAATGGGGAAGTGGGAATTGGATTGGGAATTCAATAAACTTCTCTTGTTTTTCCGAGTAAGTACAGGACCTCTTTTTATATCTCAGTAATGGGCATGTGGTATTTTATTACACTAATCTTGATTTCTTGGTTTGTTACTTGTAACTGAACCATGGTTGGTTGCCAGCTGGTTCTTGGTCAGTTATGCTGACCTGTCCCTGCTACTGAGATGGCTTTCTCTTTTTCCTTCTAGAATACACCTTCAGCTCATTGTTCTTTCTCTCTGGGTCCCTAACATCCCCCCCCACCTTGAGATTGTCCTCGTCCTTGAGGCTCAACTGTGGGAATTGGAGTGCTAGGTCAGAACAAGGTTTCCATGTGGCGTCTTCCATAGGTAGCCCCATCCAACTGACTAGAGCTTCTCTAGAGAATGATTGACTATTTTTCACCCATCTGAATGCCAGTATCTTCCTGGGTTGTAAATGAATGTTGCCTTCATCTGTGAAGTCTGGTAAGGTGGTGCATGGTAGTTGATTTTGACCCACTACTTTCTTTAGAAATGAAATGTGAAATACTGCGTGAATCTTGGAGGACTGTGGTAGCTCTAGTTTATATGCTAGAGGGCTGATGTGTTGTACCACTTTAAAAGGTCCATAGTATTTGGGGGCCAGCTAATTGTAGGACCTTGTAGCTACCGAGGACTGTTGATATGGTTGTAATCTGAGGTACACCAAATCACCAACCTGAAATTCCAATGGTCTATGTTTCCTGTCATAGTGTTTCTTCATCTGTTCTTGAGAATGTTTCAAGTGGACCTTGAGGTCACTTATGACTTCATCCTGCTAAGTGAGGCACTCATCTACTGCTGCATTGGCCGATGACCCTTTCTCATATGGTAGGATAGCTGGGGATTCCCTACCATAGAGAACCTTGAATGGTGTGTTTCTGGCTGATACATGAAAAGAGTTGTACCAGAATTCTGCCCATGGCAGCCACTGAGTCCATTGATGTGGCTTTTCACTTGCAAAACAACGCAAGTAAGTTTCAATGCATTGGTTGACTACTTCAGTTTGACCATCGGGTTGTGGATGGTAACTTGTTGATGTGTTGTGTTTGCTTCCTTGCAGCTTGAAGTATTCCTTCCAAAAGTTGCGGAGGAAGGCTGGGTCCCTGTCGGATATAATGGCCCTGGGTGTGCCATGTAATCTTGTAATTTCTCTTACAAATGCTTCAGCCACCTTTGCTGCTGTGTATGGGTGGGCTAGAGGGATGAAATGGCTGTACTTTGAGAGGCAGTCAACGACCACTAACAGAACTGACTTGCCTTTCGATGTGGTAGTCCTGTGATAAAGTCTATTGAAACTTCATTGCAGATCTCATTAGGGATGTGTAATGGCACACAGGACATGAGGTAACAAAATCTCTGATGGTCCACTTCATACCTGTTCATAAATAATGGTCTGCAATTCTCTTGTATGTTTTAAAAATTCCTGAGTGGCCTCCTATAATAGAGTTGTGGAATAGTGCTAGTAATTCTGGTATGTGAGCAGAATTAGCAGAAATGACTAATCTACCTTTGTAGAAGAGTGTAGAGGCCTGAACTGAATATCCTGGGGTCGATCCTGGGTCCTGGGCCTACTTAGCTCGAATTTGGCTTAATGTAGGGTCCTGTTGTGCCTCTTGCTTGAGCTGTTCCAGCAAGGGATAGCTGGGTTGAGATACTACTAGTTGGGCCATTTCAGGCATGCGCGACAAGGCATCCGCTACACGACTGACCGGGCCTGGCTTGTACTCAATTACGTAGTTGTAACCTAGGAGCTTATGGGTCCATTTCTGTTGTTATGGGGTATGGAATTTCTGCTCCAACAAGTACTTCAGGCTCTTTTGGTCAGTACGGATTATGAACTGATGTCCCTGTAAATATGCTCTCCATTTTTGGACAGCCAACACCACTGCCATGGGTTCTTTCTCGTATGTGGATTTGGCTTGTGCTCGCTGAGATAGAGCTTTGCTGAAATAAGCAATGGGTTTGCCTTCTTGCATCAGTACAGCACCTATACCGCACCTTGAAGCGTCACATTCCAGCACAAATTGCTCAGAAAAATCTGGTAGTGACAATGTTGGTGGTGTGGAAACCGCTTTTTTCAACCTCTCAAATGCTAATTGTGCTTCATCTGACCATTGAAATGCATCTTTACGCAGCAGCTGTGTGAGTGGTGCGGCTATCCACCCATAATGAGGGATGAATCTCCGGTAGTACCTTGTAAGGCCCAAGAAGGCGCACAATGTTTTGACAGGCTTTGGTGGTGGCCAATTTTGGATGCTTTTAACCTTGTCTGGATCCGCCATGACCTGTCCTGCCTTCACCACATGGCCCAAATATTGTACTTGTGATTGTCTGAAAACACATTTGAATGCTTTGCAAACAATTGGTGTTGCCTCAAGAGTCCCAAAGTGATAGACAAGTGTTTTAATACCCAGTCAGCGCTAAACACAAGAATATCGTCAAAGAAGACTAGTATGAAGCGATCTAAGTGTGGTCAGAATACCTCGTTCATGATGGCCTGAAATGTTTGTGGGGCGTTGGTGAGCCCAAACGGCATAAAGAGGAATTCGTAATGACCGTCATGTGTGTGAAACGCTGTCTTGGGTATACATCCTCCGGGTGCATCCTTGTTTGATGATATCCCGATCTAAGGTCGAGTTTAGAGAATACCATGGCTGCTTGTAGATCATCTAGTAACTCATCAATGAGTGGAATGGAGAAACGATCCTTGACTATGATCTGATTTAGGGCACGGTAATCCACGCAAAATCTCCATGTTCCATCCTTTTTGACTAGTAACTCGGGTGCTGAATATGGACTGGAACTTTGCTGAATAAATTGCTTCTCCAGTAATTCTTGGATAATTTTTTTCATTTCTTCCTGCTGGAATCTTGGGTACCGGTATGGCCTTACATTTGATGGGGGCTCACCTGGAATTATCTCAATTCGGTGGTCTGCGTGCCTTGGGGGTGGTAGGCCTTTTGGTTCTTGGAATGTATCTGAATTCTCTTTGAGGAGTTCTTGTAATTCTTGCTGGGCTTTTGCTAGAATGGGCTCTTCTTCTGTTAGTAACGGGGCTGGATGGTTCCACCCCTATTTTCATGAAGATTATTTGGTCCTCATCCTGGCACGTTTTGATGATGGTTTTCAGCCCATTTGGCTGGGGTGCAGTTGGCTCGAGACCTGTTAAGTGGCATTGTTTGCCCTCTATGGTGAAGTCCATTGTTAATTGTGACCAATCACAAATGACTGGGACCAATTCTTTCAGCCATTGTAGTCCTAGTACCATATCAGCCCCACTGAAGATTAAAGGATGCAAATCAACTATGAACAGTTGCTCCTGTATTTTAAGTGTGATTTGTCGAAAAATACCTTCACACTTTATTTGGTTACCATCTGCTACGTGAACCGTGAATGGATCCACATGTTCTATAGTAAGGCCCATTTGTTTGGTGGCAACCTTAGTTATGAAGTTCAGGGTGCTACCATTGTCAATTAAGACAGAAACTCTTCGGCCTTTTATAGACCCGAAAACCCTCATGGTTTGTGGGGATTTTATTCTGGTGAGGGCATGCAATGATATTTCCGGTGGGTCGGGCTCACCTTGTTCTGCAACTATGACTTCAGTCTGGGTCTCCTCTTCTATCTCTTTGGTCTGGAGCATGAATAGTTGTTGGGCTTTACACCTATAGCCCGACCCAAATTTTTCTTCACAGTTATAGCAGAGCCCCGGTCCCTATGCGCTTGCATTTCAGCCCATGAGAGTTTCTTGAGAGGAACTGGTGCAGGTACTACCACTGTAGATCTGGATTGTGGGCCTTCTTGATGTTGGGCCGACCCATTCCTTCCAGTAGACATAGGCCGGTGGTTGACTGGTTCATTCAAGATAGCTGGAGTGAATCGCGGGGTCCAGTTTGAGCCTGGATAGGCTATAAGAGAGGGCCGACTGAGTTTCTTGAGCTGAGTTGGTCTCTCTTCCTGAATTCTGGCGAGACTGAAAGCTGTGAGCAATGGCGGAGGTTAGAGGGCCTTCACCTCCACTTCAATTTCTTCCTTCAAGCCGCTGATGAAACACCCCAGAAGAGCAATCTCCGGCCATCCATGTACCCTCATCAACAGCTTTTCAAATTCAACCTGATAATCTCACAGAGCCCGTTTGCTTCAGCTTCGATAGGGTTTCATCGTAGCTATGAAAGCTAACCGGTCTGAACCTTATGAACAAGGCTAAGGATGAGACCTGTGGAACCATTGGAACCACAGTATAGCCTCTCCTTCCAGATGGAAGGAGGCTATGGAGACTCTGTGATGGCTCGGTGTGTTGTGATATTCAAAGAACTTTTCAGCTTTGAAAATCCAAGGTCTGGGGTTGTCACCGGCATAGTTGGGAAAGTTGAGCTTGGCTGTTCCCATAGATGCTCCTGGTTCTCTCCTATTTCCTTCAACTTCTTGGCTGGATTCTTTGTTCTCATTTTCAAGATTTCCTGCTGACGCGTTCTTTTCCAGTTGTGCCATGACCGCTGCCAGTGATTGTTTGATATCTTGCAAATCACTGGTGACCTTGTGTATTTGAATCTCCATGCGATCTACCATTTCGTTGACAGTTCCAGATCTGGTGCTCGGCATCCTGCTGTCGTCTTCAGGTTTTCCTCGCTCTGATACCAATTGTTGAGGTTCTGCCTCAACACAGGCCTCTCTTCGAGGGAGAAGCTGCCTCCTAGGTTGAAGATGGTGGGAGTGAACAATGGGGAAGTAGGAATTGGATTGGAAATTCAATAAACTTATCTTATTTCTCTGAGTAAGTACAGGACCTCTTTTTATATCTCAGTAATGGGCATGTAGTATTTTATTACACTAATCTTGATTTCTTAGTTTGTTACTTGTAACTGAACCATGGTTGGTTGCCAGCTGGTTCTTGGTCAGTTATGCTGAGCTGTCCCTGCTGCTGAGATGGCTTTCTCTTTTTCCTTCTAGAATAAACCTTCAGCTCTTTGTTCTTTCTCTCTGGGTCCCTAACATGATTCCTTTTTTTTACATCAATCATTTTCTCACCTTTTAAAACCATTCTTTTATGATTACTGAGCAACCATGTAAACACTCATTGGATACTGGGTTACTGTTACTTATGTGACACTACCTCCTTGCCCCTCTCCATCTATCAATATGAAACCCCCTTTTCTCCACATTTTATTAACCATTCATCTACAAATTATTGAACAGAAATTATTAAATACAGTCATTAGCCATCTACTCCTTAGTGAAGATTGGTGTTGCCAAGTATTGATGTATCAACTTCCATTCAAATGCCTAATTAGTATAGACCCCCAGTATGTTTTCCTTAACAATTGAAACTGGATACCATACCCCGTGTCACACATTCAAATGTTGACTGCTAAATTACATGTCTACAATGTTAACTTGTCATATCCTCCTCCTGGCCAGAATAACAAGTGAATTTCTGACTTCTGGTGCTGCCATGTTGAATATATACAATGTTCTCCTGACATAATACAAATGTTTCTCCATGTCTGCAGGCAGCCAGGAAGCTTGGCTTTCCAATCCTCTATGGTGATGGATCACGCCCTGCAGTTCTGCAATCAGCTGGTATTTCTTCTCCAAAGGCCGTGATGGTTATGTATACAGGGAAGAAAAGGACAATTGAGGCTGTACAAAGGATTCGACTTGCCTTCCCTGCGGTAGTTTTGAAGTTTTCCTATAATTTCCCTCAACATTTTTTGTTCTTTACTAGTTACTACCATCTCTTTCCCAAGATTGAACAGGTACAAATATTTTGTACATAATGTCAAAAGATCAAAACATTTTGAGAAAAGAATGAATTAAATATTTGCTATTATAAAAATCTATAGAATAAAAAGCCATGGTAAACCAAACTCCAATTTCCGCATTGAATTAAGGAAGCCTACAGTGTATTCTTTTATTGACCTTATAATTTAATTATAGAGAAAACCCCTGGTGCCATGCTTTATTATGCCATAAATTTGCATATAATGCCATCAATGTTCTGTCAATTTCACTCAATGCTTTTTGACAGGTTCCTATATATGCCCGAGCTCAAGACCCAATCCACCTATTGGATCTAAAGAAAGCAGGTGCAACAGATGCTATTCTTGAAAATGCAGAGGTTCCATCAACTTTATTCCCATTTACTCTTGGTTACTGTGATAGCAAACTAGCCGTACGTTTTATGCATTCTGATAAATTGTTTAATCTATATCTGCAGACTAGTTTACAGCTTGGTTCTAAGCTTTTGAAAGGTCTTGGTGTCATGTCTGATGATGTAACATTTCTCAGTCAGCTTGTTCGAGATTCCATGGAGTTTCAAGCTCAAGAGGCACTAAATAATAGAACTGATGACAGGGAGTATGGTGTTCTGAAGCCACTGCAGGTACACCATAATATGAACTGCAAATTTGACACTAGGATGTTTTATAAAATAATGAGAGAACAAAAACAGCAAGGAAAAATAGATGAAAAAGATGAAAGATTAAGAGGAGAGTAAGATGTGAGAAGAGAAGAATAGAAGAAAAGGGGATGCTAAAAGATATGCAGTTGTCCCCTTTTCAATTTAATAAAGGATGTACAAAGACCAATATGCCCCTGGCCACTCCAATAATGTAAAAGAGAACAAACCGGCAATAATAAAGAATATAAAAATATATAAATAAAACAAATAGAGTCTCAACATTGACAAATAGGTCCTGATGGTCCTTCAAACTGCAATGTGCATAAATATGGGATTTTCACTTCACAATGTTCCACCTACAGACCTCCATTGCTGTAAGCAAGAAAGCTGAATGATCATAATCATTTCCTTGTAGAGGCTTTCTCTTTGACCTTTATATCTTTTCTAACTATTGGAAGAACAATCAAGGATTAGATGGTTATGTCCTCAGATTGGATTGGTTTTGTCATATGTGGTCTCCTAATAGAGTCCATAAACAAAGGTTCTTATGCCTGGGATTGTTGGATTTACCGTACTTGTCTTATGTTTATATGATATATCTGAATCAATTCTTGTTTCACTGTGAATGAATTCACAGACTGGAACAAATCAAGCAATAAAATCTTTAATCTAGTGCTGTAACTAAAATCTGAGAATTTATCTTAATGACGAATTAGATGAAAACTCCACCAGTATGAGCTTGTCTTACACTGCCTGTCCCAAGCCTGGATAAAAGAGAAGGGTTGCATCAGGTTGGCATCTAGCACTATTACTTTGCCAAACTCTTATGGTCGTGGCTGCTGATTTGTCTTTTCTTTGTCCAAAATAAATGTCTGCAGAAATGCAAATGCTTGGATGGATGTGTGGTAAAACTAGAAAGGATAGGATTAGAAATAAGTCATACGAAGGAAGACTATCTACAGCACATGCATATAAGATCATCTACAGCACCTGTTAGAAAGGTAATCTGTTACAAATTGAAGGGGCTAGAAGAGCTAGGGGCAGGCTGAAAAGGACTTGGGTAGAACCGTAGAAGTAATAAGAGACGATATAAGAACCCATAATTTAACAATGGATATGGCAATTAACAGAATGGAATGGGAAAACAGGAATCATGTTTGAGGATTTCTCAGCCTCCTTTATAGTTTATATTTAATACAATCATTTTACCATTTATAAAAAAAAAAATGTAGCCAACCCCATATATGACCAATGTTATACATGTTACAAAAAGATTCTTAGGTTTTATTTGTAAGCAATTGAAACAAAGCACCTTGTAAACACCTCTCCTTGCTCAAATTTCATTTGGAAAACTGTCACCAATATCTTGCGGATATATTGATTTGCAGAAGATGAGAGCTTTCTATATATATTAGACTTATTAGTAATCAATTTTAAAATTTAAATATAGCCCAGTCTACATTGACATTCATGTATTTTGTTAATTTTTATCTGAAGCCTCAGAAATATACCAACTGAAAAAAGAATAATGCTGGAGCAGGTAAGGGTTGCAGATTTGATGGGAGCACGGTCCCCAATTTCTTCAAGCTCATCCAAAGAAAGCTCAACAAATTCAGAAGAGTCCAATATTCAGACAGAAGTAGATCAATCTGAACATGAACTTCCTTTGGAACAATTTGAGAATGGGGATGGCAAAGGTGTCTTGTATTGTGAATTGGACTCCGAGAACAGTTCCCAAGCTGGAAATGAGGATTTCAAAGGAGAGGAAAGTACAATAGACCATTCAATACCTTGTGCAACGGGTGAAAGACCATGATTTTTTATCAGGTTTAATACATTCTTCTCTTATCGTCTTCCAACGTCAATACTTCTAGTGCTCTTGGTGGTCCTCCAAGTATCAGAGAAATATTTTGAAAGTTTTTGTTGGCGGAAGACAAGATGTAAATGGAGAATATGTAAAGCTGCATGATGGTGTCCAAGAAGTTGTTACTATCTCTGGAAGGCCACAGCATGTATGTGATCATATTTGATCAATTTTCTATTATTTTGCATTTATGATTTGTGAATAATCTGTTTTTTATTTTTCCTTTTAATTGAGAAAGGAGCTTTACTGGTTTACAAAAATGTAAAGAGGCAAGCCGATTTTGGCCATTATAAAGCATAAATAGCAGTGGCACAGTGCTTTCTTGTCGTATTTGATTATCAACACTAATATAGTTAATAAAAAAGAAGCTAATCTGACTGAATGGTATAAAGATTATATCATATGCAGGGAGCAAGTCAGCTGTAGATATCAGTAACTGAGTACTTAACCATCTGTCGCGGATGTCTGTTTTTCCAGGATGACAATAAACACGATGATTGAAATACGGTAGTGTAAAAATATTTGATATTTGATATCGTGATTTGCGCACAATCCATTGCAGGAAATGAACTCATTATACTCAGAGTTCTCACAATTCTGCACCAAGTAGTCTAGACCTGACCTCATCATTCATCAGCAGCTCGGGATTTGGGGTTTTGTTCGACTTCATAAAGACATAAACCAAGTCCTAGCATGGGCCAAGAACATCAGTCCCCCCCGTTCATTGTGGTCAAATAAATGAATAAATTCAAAGTTTCAGTTTTTCAGAGACCTGTGTGCTTATAATGTTTGAGATGACTTGAGACTAAATGTTGAATCATTGCTGGAACTCGGTAGAATTCTATTATAAAAAAACTCAAGGTTTTGGGAATTCTAATGGGAATCGGAATGGCCTATTCCCCTACCTGTTTGATTCAGACAAGTATCAGAATCGGATTTCGACTGTTGCTGTTTGGTTCATCTAATAAAAAACATATAAAGAAATAAAAATCCATAGAAATCCAAATCCAACACAATCTAATTAACATATAATGAGAAAAAAAAATATGAAAAAAAAAGAAAAAAATGAACATAATAGGTTAACTACTTTGTGTTCAAAAATAGTAATTACAGATCCAATTTGCTGCAATATCAAATGTGAGATTATTAAGCAGCTAGAACAACTATTGAAATGGTCTTTCTGAACCAAATAATGAACATATAGAGCTGTAATCATGCAAGTCATGCGACACAAAGATTAAGATATTTCTAGAGTTTGTCCCTTCAAAGTAAACAGGGCTAGACACTGAGTTCGAATAACAAGTTTAAGCGTAACAACTCACAGTAGCCAGAATATATTTGCTTTCTTCCCCTAGCCCCCTCATTAGCCACAATTTCCACTCTGCTCAAAATGATATCAAGTTCAGAAGACCAACATAACGAGTAAGAAGGACAGACAAATTTGAGGAATCAGATGAGGACACCATCTATGACCCTAAGTTAACTACCACAAAAACCCATAAAATGCTAATCATACAACAGAATAAGGAGAATACATTATACATGGCATTGGCATGTAAGAGTAGCTGCAAAGCCTGCAATGGATGGTACAAATGTAATGAATAGGTTTAAGTTGCAGAAAGAAGCCATGTCATGGAAAAATAAATTTCTAATTTTCCATGTTATAGGAACTGAACCAAAGAAAGGTTCTGAAGAATCTGAACATTCAAGAAAAACAAAGCACACTTTAGTTATGAAAGAGATACTAGATATAAAGATCATCTAAAGAAGTATAACTGTTTCTTTTCCTTTAAAATTTATTTATTCTGTTAATATTTGGGTGGAAGAGGGAGATAAAAACTTGTAAAAAGGAAATGTACCTACTTGAAAACAATATTCACGTCTTGACAATCATTGATTTTTATGATTTAAAAATGGAGCCACAAAATCCTTGACGAACAAATGTAATGTTGTAAATTAAAGTGCACCTTCTGATGCGGGGCGCTGCTGCGCCACTGTAGCCACGATAGCCTGCATCGAATATTCCGTTGTAACCACCTGATTTGCCATACAGGCCGTTGGAACCGTATCGAGTGCCTTATCATTATTGTAACGGTCTCCAACCACCGATGATTATAAATGATTGAATAATGAATAGCGGGATATTGAATTTTGCCTCATCATTGGTTTCTCTCTCTCCGGTCACGCTTCTGGCCATCCCCTTGAGCGGTGTTTCACTATAGCTCGGGGAAACTCGAAGCTCTCACCCCGACAACGGGAAGAGGTTATCAACATCTTGGTATCAGAGCAATCGAACCCTTGGGTAACCAAGGTATTGGAGATGGAGGATCGCGTAGGGAGTCTAGAAAGGTCCCGTGAGGAGATGCACATGAAGTTCTCCGAGTTGATGGAGCGTCTGGATCACATCGCTTCCCGATTGGATCAGCAGGAAGAATCTCACCACCGGTCGTCCACTGGTGGGGGCTTCGGGAAGGGAGCAGCTTCATCTTCCCGTAGAAGTTCTAGAAGGTGGAGTTACCGAAGTTTGGAGGCACGGGGCTGGACGGATGGCTTCTCCTCATCCAGCAATACTTCCGCTTGCAGGAAGTACCGGAGGAGAACTAGGTTGCGGTGGCGAGCCTTGGGTTTAAAGGGAGAGCAATTGAGTGGTATAGCTGGTATAAGGAGCATCAGCCAGATCCCACATGGCGCTAGTTTGTAGCCGCCTTGGATGCTCGATTCAACAGGCCCCTGGGGAACAACCATGTTGGGCGACTTGTGAAGCTCTCTCAGTCCTCCACCGTTCATGAATATATGGAGGAGTTCCAGAGGATCTCTAGCCGAGTAAAGGGCTGAACGAAGAATCCCTAGTGGGGTGTTTCATCTCTGGTCTCAAGGTAGAGGTTCGAGCAGGGGTGGAAAAGTTCGAGCCGGTGACTTAGGCCCGAGCCTTCTGACTAGCGCTGTTAGAGGAGGAAGAATGGGTAACACAACGACGGACGGTCAGGCCAGAGAAACCACGACCCCGTCCCTCACCAGCGGGCGACCTTCAGACGAACAGATCTTCACCAAGGAGGCTTCTGGAGATTCGTAGGCTCACACCGACAAAAATGAAGGAGAGGAGGAAGAAGGGATTATGTTACAACTGTGAGGAGTGGTACGTCCCTAGCCACCGGTGAAGGTACAGAAGCTGTTGTGGATTAACTGGGAAGCGGAAGAGGAGGAAGGGGACGACTCTGAACAGTCCATGGGAGAGGAAGGACCGGACCCAACCCCAACAATCTCCCTACGTGCTATCTCGGGAGCTGACACCACACAGACTATGCGCTTACATGGAACGATAGGGGTTCTTCCGGTAACCATCCTCGTAGACTCTGGATCCTCCCACAACTTCATGGACCCAAGGGTGGCAACGAAGGCAAAGGTGGCGTTGACATCAGACACCAAGTTCAAAGTAACGATGGCAAATGGGGATCAGGTAGCCAAGTAGGGCCGTTGCAATGGAGTCCGCATCCGGACCGAAGGGACAGAGATCATTGCAGACTTCTTCCTGTTATCCTTACCAGGATTGGATGCTGTACTTGGTGTCCAATGGCTTCGGACTTTGGGGCCAGTCACATGGGATTTCAACAGTCTTTCCCTAGAATACCAAGACCAAGACCAGGTCGGCACTCACCTCCTCCAATGCCACCGACCTCCCGAACTAAGAGCAATAGATGGGGAGAAAATGGAGAAACATTGGATGTTGCTTTCTGGTGCAAATAAGAGACACCCACGGTTAGAGGTGTAAATCGGGCCGTGCTGCCGCGGTCTGGCATGACAAGATGCGGGCCATACTAGGCCCAATATGATCGTGTAGACAGTGTTAGCCTGGGGTTTTAGGTCCATGGGCTGGCCGGTAATGCACGACCAAGCGGGCCATGCCGCCCATGGCTCGGCCCGACACGACCCGCGACATGGCCCAACACAACCCATATTATATATATATATATAATATTATATAATTATATAGTATATAATTTATTAATAAATAAACAATTGTTTTCAATTTTATTATACTAATTTATTTAATTATTGTATATATAAGCAATTTTATACATTAAAATTCATATAAAATTAAAATTTTAAGTTCTTTTTAATTTTTTTAAATAAATAGCTTTGGCCTGATCCACGGCCCGGCCTGCAGCATGACATGGCACGACACATGCTCACATGGGCTTGGGCTGTGGGGGCCATACCACAAACTCTCGGATTCGACCAGTGTTGGGGCACTTTGAAGAGGTCTTTGAAGAGCCAGTGGGTCTACCCCCTCCTCGGGCCTTAGACCACACCATCCTACTGCACAAAGGGGCGATGCTAGTGTGTGTGCATCCCTACCGATACCCACACTACTACAAAGGAGAGATCAAAGGGTTGGTTCAGGAAATGCTCGCCAATGGGATCATCCGACCCAGTGTGAGTCCGTTCTCCCTGGTGTTGTTAGTGAAAAAGAAAGATGGAGGTTGGAGATTCTGCGTGGATTACCGACAGTTGAATGTGGTGACTGTCAAGGAGAAATATCTAATGGCCAACATCGACGAGCTTTTGGATGAATTCCATGGGTCACGGATTTTTTCCAAGCTGGACCTCTGAGCAGGTTATCATCATATTAGAGTTCGAGCCTCGGATGTCCCTAAGACAACATTTCGGATGCACAACAGACATTATGAGTTTCTGGTGATGCCCTTGGGGTTATCCAACGCTTCGACCACTTTTCAAGCACTCATGCACGAGGTCTTTCAAGAATTCCTAAGGAAGTCCGTTCTCGTCTTTCTGGATGACATACTGGTTTATAGCCGATCAACAGAGGAGCATGTCAAGCATTTCCGAGCAATAATAGCGACTCTAAAAGCCCACAAGCTACATGCCAAAAAGAAGGAAGTGTTGCTTCGAGGTCAAGAGAGTGAGCTACCTTGGACATATTATCTCATCTAGTAGGGTAGAAGTGGATCCCGTCAAAATTGAATGTATGGTGAAATGGCCCAGACCCAAATCCCCAACCGAACTCAGGGGATTCTTCGGCCTCATAGGGTATTATCGAAAGTTTGTCCAAGATTATGGGAAGGTAGCCCGACCACTAACAGGACTGCCAAGGGAGCCTAGGGCTAGAACTCAGAAGCCGAGGACGCCTTCTAGAAAATGAAGGAGGCCATTACATCCACTCCGGTGTTGGCACTACCGAACTTTAATTCATGGTTTCAAATGTTGTGAAATGTCACTAATGTCGCCCAACATATGTCGATAGCGAGACTCACCAACATGAAAATGGATGATAATATAAAAATTACATTATTTCGGTTGACATTTCCTAT